TAAAAATGATTAATGTACTCCGTATCATTTTTTAAGGACAATGTTTTCCTGGGGTGTATTGTATTAGGAGTCAGTGACAAAATTTTAAAAGTCCGTGGATTTTAAAAGTTTAGGTGTATTCAATATAGACTTTTAAAAGTCTATAAAAGTCTAGGTGTATTAAAATTTCCGTTCATTCTTATGGATTTCTAAAATCACGGATTCTCGTGGACTTTTAACTCATTTTTAGTACATTAATTTTCTGCAATTGTCTATTCTTTTCACCAAAGATTTCTATGAACTTTTATAGTCGTCTTCTACTCATCATAAGTACACATAGATCTGATTGCAGATTTAGCTAATTATTTAGCTGAGATCACAAACCGGCCAACAAATTCTGGACTAGTACCAATCGGGACGGAAGGTGGGTACCAGGATGGTCTCATTATGCAAGATTTGAACATTAAATTTTGATTTTTTCCCCTATCATTTTACGATATATAAGTTGAACAAGAAGTTTCTGCACTAATACTGATACACAAGATAAACTTATCTTTTCAATTTTAAAAAAATAAATAAATACTGATATTTTATATGTCGTCTTATGAAGAAAAATGTAGGGGTGAGATCAGTTCAGTTCTTGAACCGTTAATCCCATATCAATTCCGGTACGTTGTCAGTTAATCATTAAGATTTTTTTTAACTATTAATGTGTTTCATCGTTAACCTGGTAACACATAAAAATATAATTTCAAATTACTAAACATTCAACGTAAATAAGTATACCAAATATAACAAGTTAAAAATGAAAAAAAAACAATTATTAAGAAGAAAAACTCGATTGCACCTATGTTTGTACCATGTGTAGCAATGAGTGTAACACTTGTGTAATTATCAATGTTCTTACTCATTGAGTTGTGTAATACGGAGTATAACAATTGATCATACATAGATCGAGATTGTTGAGCATTCTCGAAACTTTAAGTTTCTTTTTAACAAAAATAAATTTGGGTTCTTATGCTTCATTTATTTTTGTAGAACTTTGCGTTGCTGGATGAATTACATTTGTTTCATTTATTTACTTATGTGTACAATTGTTTTTTTATCATATTACACATAAGAAATTACTCATGGTAGGACTAAAACATACGTTGTAGCATTTTACCAAAGTATGATCATATGTTTGATTTTCACTAAATAGGACTAAATACTACCTCCTATTTCCATCATTTGTAATGGAACCAAAAACTCATTATTTTTTGGCTTGGGAATATGATGGAATAAAGCAACGTGGCTTACTAAACTGTCTGCGCTTCTTTGTTATGAAGCAACAGTCAGTCCATGCAATTTTCGACGCGATTTTCACTATGGGTCATCCGGAAACAGTCTCTCTGTGCTTTAGCACAGGGGTAAGACTGCGTACATCGACCTCCCCTTACCCCACCGAAGGTGTGGGAGCCTTTGCGGCACCGGGATAATGATGATGGAGGACTAAATACGGAGTATTACATTTCTCCCCCTAATATAATTAATTAATATAATTAATTTCCCATATTTCCCTTGCATAACCATAGTCATTCTGTTGGCGGCGAACTCCAGTGACGGAGGCGGAAAGGCAAATCGACAGCGGTGATTCTGGTGGAATTCCGACGACCGACAATGGCGGTCCAGACTTAAAAGTCTATGGACTTTTTAAAAGTCTATAAACTTATCCATAGATTTAAAAATCAATAGAATTCATTCATAAAAAGTCTGTTGATTTAAAAGTCCATAAACTTTTTTAGAAGTCCATGGATTAACAAAAAATCCACCACAATCCATATTCACTACACACTCATTAATATGGGATGCATTAGCATTATCCACCTGCATTTCATGTTAAAGGACAAGCAGCCAAACAAAAAATATATGATACAAACAAAAGGCAAGGAAAGACAGACAATTCAACACTGTATGGAAAGAGGAAACTTGTTCTATAGTGGGAAACACAATAAGACTTACTTCCTCATGCTTGTCATCTTCAACACCATGTGCGACTCCCTGCCTTTCATCTTGGACTTCAGCTTCATTGCCCTCGTCAGCAACCTGGCCCTCTTTGCATTCATCTTTATCTTCATCTTCATCTTCATCATGCTTCCCCTCAACTTCGGTAGACTTGTGATGGACATCAACATCCACCTCAGCCACACTCCCGGCATTCATCCTCTCTTCCATTACTTTCAACCTCTCCTCCAGGGCCACCACTTGCGCCCGTAGCATTTCCATGTCCTCCACCATCTTAGCTTTGAACCCTTCATTATCCTTGATATCATCCACCGCTGTTTCTTCACCATGGTCTTCCTCGTCTTCTTCTTCCTCATGCACGTATAAGCTATACTAATTTACACACTTTGATGCAAATTTTATTATTTTAAAAACACACAAATACATTACATCGTAATGATCCTTGAAAACCAGTTCATTTAGCTTATGCAAATGAAAGAACCCCGTAGCCTTCCAGTTGAGCAAGGGGACTTCATGATTACCAACGCATTCAACACATCTCCGTCCTAGCTCAGGCAAACTCTCGTAAGCCTAAACCTGAAAAACACAAAAGACAATTAAACAAAAACAATGTGTGGCAGAATAAGTTGTCTGTCTACAGTTCTACACTAAGGAATTTTCTGTATGAAAGGACGAAGTGTCTGTGTGGAAGAATAATTTTGTATGTGTGAGAGAATAATATTGTTTGTCTTTCAAATGACATGTCGACAAACAGACAACCATGTGTTTCATGCAAACATGACAATACAAAACACACAATGAAATATAATGCCTACATTACCTGTAGGACGTGAGGAAGCCTGTGCAATGTGAACTTTGCGTTTTTGTATTTGGGATTGGCGACCTTACTCTAGTTGAACTTATCGGCTTGCCCAACCATAAAGGTCTTTATATGAGAAACCATCAGATTGTAGGACTCTTTTGCCCAAAGGCAAGCTTTAAATTTCTCTAAGTCCTCAACCCATTTCAGAAGCTGTGAATTCATGTTTTTTTTCTTGTTCCTTGGTAGTAAAACACATAGACATAAAAAACACATGCAAGCTTCAAAGCATTACCGCGAGCTCCTCTCTTTTTCGGCTTAATTGATTTCATCTTTTTCGTCAACGTCCTGAAGCTGATCTCGGTGGCACCACCAAAGTAGTTATCTAGTAACATCCCATTGCCTTCATCATCATAGGAGAAGACTGAAGTTGGACCTTTAGAACGGAGGCCAATGTTGCATTCAAAGTCGGCATACGTAAACTTCAACAACTTCTCGTTCACGCAAAACCATAGTTCGTCTTCGGGCTGCTCACACGCCTTAACAACAAGTTATGGGCAATTTGAGAAGAGAGCTGAAGGTTTGGCACATCAAGAAGATGGGTCCACGACATCTTCCGAAACTGAGAAATCTACTGGATAGACAAAGCTGATTTCACCAACTTTGCAACGTCTTTGCAATTTGAAAGCTCCATCACATGTCCAAAAATGCACACCACATAAGACAAACAAGTCAATATGAATCACAGACATCTATGTATCCATCACATACATTTGTAAAGTCCTTATGGACAACTCAAAACAAATGACAGACAAGGAAATATGAATGCCATACATCTATTTATAACATCACAGACATTTATAAAGTCCTTACAAACAACACAAAACAAATGACAGACAACTCAAAATGTGAATGAGAGACATTTATTTAAAACATCACAGACATTTCTAAACCCTTTACAGATAATTCAAAACGTGTGACAGACATCTCACAACACACAAACAACATCTCAGACAACTCTTAAATCATAGAAAACAAAATTAGGTCTTATTTAATTAAATTAAATCAATTTTCCTAAGGTGAGTACTACAGAAGGATGAAAATATTACCTTCCAACAAGATTTGTCAAACTAGTTCGCACCATAGCTTCACACTTTAAACACTCACTAATTTGAATGGATCTTTAAAGTCCTCAAATCTTAAAGCAACTTATTTCCGGCCGTTCTCTGCGTTTTCCAAAGAAGTTGGAGCAACGCCTCGTCCACTTGGAGCAGTCTCAAGGTCGTTTGTCGTTGGAGTAGCGATTTCCGTTTTCCGGGGGATGGGAGGTCGGTTCAGTCCGCCGGAGCAGTCTCTCCCTTCGTTTCTCCCATGTAGTAGCGACACACAACCTTTCTGTGATGGAGTTCGGTTCAGTCCGGCGTAGATGGATGCGTTTTGTTGTCGTTCGGATTTGGGAAGGCTAGTTCGAAGTCGAGGGATGAATGCGGGAGTATGGGGCGGGAGATTGGGATGGATCGAAGGCAAAAGAAAGATGGGGTAAAAATTTGAATTAGGAAGGAAGTGAGGTAAAAAAAAGGAAGGCAAAATTGATTCTCATTACTGAGAATAGTTGCGTACAACTAGGGCTGTTAACGAACCGAGCTTTTATCGAACTATTCGAGTTCGAGCTCGGTTTCGAACCTAACGAGCCGAGCTTAACGAGCTTTCAAACTCGAACTCGAGCTGAGTTTTAAGTTCGAAAAATTAATCGAGCCGAGCTCGAACATAGTAGTTTTCGGCTCGGTTCGAACTCGAGCCTATCGAACACCTTAAAAAATATAAATATAATTTATATATATGTCAAAATTTAAAAATAATTAGTATGATTTTATGAATTTAAATATGATTACTAAATTCATACTTGTCAAATACTTGTCGAATCATTCGAGCATGAGCCTATTAACGAGCATCACTTAAAATTTTAAATTCGGACATATTTATCGAGCTTATCGAGCGCTCGGTTTAAACATCAAACACCTATCGAGCCGAGCACGAGCCTCATTTGTAAAGCTCACCGAGCTTCAAGCTCGAACCCAAACACCACTAATTCCTTATCGAACCGGACTCGAGCTTTTATGTATTCGGGCTTGGTTCAGTTCGTTAAAAGCCCTACGTACAACCGGTATTTATACACGATATGCTAAGCTAATTACAGATGAGTCTATTACAACTGACTCTAACGAAGTGCGTAACATTTTATACACGTATAATTACTGAGTAACATTTTAGAATCCAGTTTATTCTGCTGGGACTTTGGGAGACTGTAAATCTGGTTAAGAAGATATCCAGGATCACGGTAATTGATGCCGAACGATGTCCAGCCACGACCATGCGGTGGGGGCAGTGCTTACTCAGATAGCACTGGCGGCGGACGGTGCTCTACTTGGTCTAACCTTAGCTTTCGTTGCTGTGCGGAGCATACTCAAGTTTAAGGCTACAAATTCAGCTCTGCACAAAATTAAGGAAGCCCCTTCGGTCCGCGTTTCGGATCTCAGCTCCCTCATAGATGCCGAAAAAGAATCGAACCAATCAGACGAAGGGAGTTTGGTGATCGTCCGAGGCAAGGTTGAAGCAAAGTCTGTCGTGGAAGGCAATTGGAAGAGCCTAATGACCAATGTGCTCGTTGCACATGATTCTGGCGAGAAGGCTGTCATTTTACAGCGAACACAAAGTGTAATTCACTTGCTATTCTATTCTATATTTTTATTCATCTTTCATATATCACGTCAAGGGAATGAATGAATTACCATTACTGGTCGCTACTCAAACTGTAGCTATATGGTGCAATTCAAGATTTTCCGTCTGGTTTCGTTTGTCTTGAATGACCTACTTCGTACTTTAACTCCCAAGCTATTTCCCTTAGTAAAATTAAAAATGAGTTTATTACACCTAAGTTTGGGTGCATTTGGGTGAAATAGTGGAATCTGCTGAATTGCCTGGTTAGTTGGATGATAGAAGTTGGGTGAACTATCTTTTAAAATGTGTTCATGATAAAGCACATGAAATAATATCTAAAATTGATTCTGTAGTTGAACTACTGTTGAAGTGTCATTTATCTTCAATTAAAAAAATTATAAAAAAAGAACGTGTGAAGTACTTTTTATTTATGATGTAGTTAAGTTAGTTAGGTAAAATATAAATGCCGCTATATATTTGAAAATAGGAGGGTTCGGAGGGTTTTTGAACAGCTAAGACTATTCCTAATATTTGAGATTTTATAAAATTGAAGTCATAATATAACCAGTGTTTATATAACATTTCATTTACTCATCATTCGTTTTTAGAAACATTCCATTTAATAAGATATAAACTAAATGGTGTGTGCTTAGCCTCCACATTGTTCCTGTCCAAAAAATGAGGTGCCAAATATTCTTAAAAATCACACACTTCATCTTATAGCTATGTGTAAGTTAAAACTTTAATGGTAAAAGAGATGTCTATATATAATACTGTATGACGCTAGTTCATACTGTATGTTGGCTTATGTTAGAGTATCCATTAGAATAAGAAGAAATGTTACCGTAATGCAGTCATCATTTATTCATTTTTGTATCATATACCTTCTGTGTCAATAAAAAACGTACTTCTGTTTATTAAATTTATATTTATACTAAGCTTAATAACAACCTAATAGGGTCCCAATCCCTATAGCAGCATTACAGTTGTTGGATATTTGGATCTGTGTATTTTTATATGCCAGATCAATCTCTGTTGTTTATGTCTTCATTGGATTATTATGTTGGGATGTTTACTACTCTATCTTTATCTTGTGTAGTGTATATACAATGATTGGAAAGGTTTCCTGGGATGGACCAGTGATTTACGTTCACTATTCACAAGATCTTGGAAAGAGCATAAGTCATCCTCCATAAGAACGGTAGTGTATAAGAACTCAGGAACTTGTGAATGTTGCAATTCCGTCTTTTATAGCAGTGAGGTGTTTGTTTCTTGGTTTTAGTAGTGTAGTCCAAGTCTGATTTATGTTATGCATTTAAATATTGTTGTGCTTGTGATTGAGTGAAACCACCCTTCCTGCTTAAGATTTGAAGAGATTAGTTTAACCAATGAACAGGATAGCTTAGGATGCTCTTTTTCAGTGTTTGGGGGTTACTTTAATAAAAAAACAGTAAAGGGGTTACCTCAAAGTGGAAAGGGCCTAGGATTTAAATATTTAAAGTTACATTATGATGATCATGTCTCGAAGATAAAAAGCCGTTCCATTATTTACTAGATTGTGCACTATTACTATTTCATAACGAGTGTATACAAGTTTCGTCTTAAGAATATGTTCATGATGGAATATCCGAAAATAATTCCATACTGGTATATAATACTGACAGCTGAGTGTAGTAGTAGATCTGGCAACACATAAAATATGTCCACATTGGGGTATGTTATTCATTCTTAATAAGAGAGTGGGCCATTTGTGCATATAGCATGATACTATGTTTCCATATGGATCAATATGTCATTACATGAGTTTCAGACACAAATTCAGACATAGAATTGTTTGCTTTTGTATATTCTTTCATGGAAAGTTGATTTGTGGACTGGGCATCCATTAAAGTTGGTTCTTAAGTTGATTTTTCATGTTGTAGGACAGTAGGACTGGTTTTTCATCCATTGTGCCATATGCAGTTATTTATGTTGGCTAGAATGTTCTTATCTTTGAAGCATGAACATTGTTAACTTTAAAGCACTTCCTATACATCTGACATAGCTCAACTAGAAACTTATTAGTTTTTTACCATTATCCAAAAAGTGGTTTTGTCTTATTGCCCGAAAGTCTCCAGAAATTTAGTACACATTGATTAAAAAATTGAGCTACTATCTGTACTTTCCTTATATAAAATCAAAGTTTACATGCAGAAGTATAAACAACGGAACCAAAATTGAGTCATAGTTTATCATCAAAACAAAAAATTTGACACCATAGGGTATGTTTTTTACTTTTAAAGAGAATCTTGTGTACTTGAATTAATTCCGGTAACAGGTCCCCTTTGTGATTGTTGAAGCTGGAAGGTGGCCGCAGTCCGAATATGTTAATGTTAAGCTGGATGGATCAACGCACCCCCTACCACTTGTAACAGTCTACCATGACCTACATCCAGTTGAAGCCACTCCACTTACATGCCTCCAGGCACTTCTTGGTCATCAGTATCCTGTCAGTATGAATGATCTTACGTTTTCTGTTTGATTGCTCAAATTCTAAATCTCTTCTCAGTTATAAATAATATTCATTCTGTTTGCAAAGATTGCCTTGCTAGATGAAGAAAAAATCCTGCCGCTTGGGAAGGAGATAACTGCAGTTGGCATTTGCAGCTCGAGTGGTGGAGCTCTAGAGATCAAAGCCTGCAATTATCTTCCTGTTTTCTTGTATGTTCCTTTCACCTCATTGGAGACAGGCTGGGTGTGTTTGTGTGTGTTGAGATCTCTCTTACTAGACACATATGATCTATATAACAATCTCATCATGAATTTATTGTGCAACTTGTGAATTGTGATTGCTTATTGAGGTTTGCAAGTGTTATCAACTCATGTCGTAATTTGAATGTGATTTTGAGTAGAGTTTTGCGGTCAGGAATATGCCACAATAGATATACTAAATCAACTCAATACAGCAGCCACTATTTCTGCTTCTTTGTTAGGTGAATAGTTTTGTTCCTGCTTTTATAGATCGGAGATGACCAAGGATCAACTGATTGTAGATCTCACATTTAAGACAAAAGTTTTGTTATGGAGTGGAGCTGTATTTGGTTTAGTTGCAATTGGAATCCTAAGCTATGCTGCTGTAAGGTACAATGAATGCACTCTTACCTCTGCCCTTTCCTTATTGTCTTTTCAGTTGTTAGACTTTAGAGTATTGTTTTTAAGTTAAGTTTATTTTTTTAATTTACAATTTCATGTGACGTACAGCAGAGTAGTAATGTCCTATTCAGTGTTTGTTTTTTAGAGTTTATAACTTGATGCTTCAGAAAAGTCAAGAGTCTGAGAAATGACCTACTAGGTTATAATGTTTTCCACTAATACCCTACTCTTTTTACAAAAACAATTTTTTTTATACATCATTCATTAATGTAAGGGATATCCTTTTAATCTTATTAAACACCATTATACCAAACTGTTCTACCCAAATCAACAACTATTCCCTCCGTTCCTATTAATTTGTCCAGGCTGAGTCGCTGACCTAATAAAAAGTGGTGTATGTGGTTGATATTGAATTGATAAAGTAAGAATAATTTAGAGCCACACAAACTTTACCAAATTTCGTATGAGACAATCTTAGTGGGACGGACCAAAAAGGTAAAATGAGACAATCTTAGCGGGATGGAGGGAGTAGTATATTATATAAAAAATGGTGAACCCGTTAAACTTTTTCTTTTTGTGAAAAATTAAACCATTAATTTATTATACTGGTATTATACTGATATGCTCGTATTAGACTATTAGTTTAATAATTAACTATAAAACCATTAATAAACCTTGTTTTCAATTATTAATTGTGGGTTTCAATTCTAAGTTATACACAATTTAGTTAGTAATATATTGTACATAATATATACTCCCTCCGTCCCGGAAAATTGTTCCCGGTTTCCTTTTTGGGCCGTCCCAAAAAATTGTTCCACTTTCCCCTTTCGGAAAGTTTTTTGTGGCTACAATTCATTTACCTTTTTCTTACTCAACCACAACCATACATTTCCACTTTATTCCCACTTAAACTCCGTTCCAAGTCAATGCGGGAACAATTTTCCGGGACGGAGGGAGTAATTATATATATAAATATATATAAATATATGTATAATATATTATACATATATAGACGACTAGTCGCCTAATTGTTGCCTAGGCGGGCGCCTTATCGCCTAGGCGATATGGCGGTCGGCTGGTGCCGCGACTCGACTTACTGCCGTGACAAGTATGAGACCCACAGTCATCTTTATTCCACATTCATGTTGAGTTTATTTCAGGAATTGGAACAGATGGAAAGCATGGAGACACCACAGGCAGCAGGCTCGACAACATAATGCTGCTGCTGATTCTCAGGTTGCTGGAGGAGATGAGGAAGACAGCAGCGACATTCCGGATGGTCAGTTATGTGTCATTTGCCTAACAAGAAGGCGACGTTCCGCATTCGTACCATGTGGACATCTCGCGTGTTGCCAGCCTTGTGCGTTGTGCATTGAACGCGATTTATCACCAAACTGCCCTGTATGTAGGCAGGCCATCACTCATTCGGTAAGGATATATGATTCTTGAGTGTGATGTGTGAGCTTTTTTGTAACTAGTACAGTTCTTTTTCTTTCTCTATTTTTGTTTTACTTTTAAAGAATTCATTAAAAAATTGTACAGTTGGTCCAGTTCCTGAACATATTAATCATTTCACTAGGCTATATACACTAATTTGCGGTTAATACAGATTGCTTGTGTATATCTCCCCCCCCCAGGATTTTACAATCATGTACAAACGAAACTCAGATTATGCACATTATGATGCTTCAGAAGCTGTGGTTTTTTTCTTTTAATTGTTGTCAGTAAGTTGCAAATAGTGTTTTGACTGGAAATCTGACGTTTTATTCATGACATCGGGGAGTAAATAATTTTTCAAATATAAAGAAGTCATTGTAGGTTTTAAATGTTTAGTTAACACATAGGGAGGGGAAAGTAGTACTTCATATTTGTTCAGAACGATATGTATTGAGGTGGACCACAAACTGATCGTGACCGGTTGCTATTCTGCCTGTGCCGCTTTTCTAGTTCTGCTGTTCTGGTATGGAGTTGGTATCGCAAACCCATCCAAACTGATACCTGGGTATGGACTTGGGCTGGGTGGCCCGACCTGGAACCGGCCCAGCCCGGCACTGTTTGGAACCGGCCCAAACCGGTGGCCCGGCCAGAGACGGTCCAGGTAGGCCCGGCCGGGGGTTAAACGGTGCGGGCTCGGGTCACCCAAAAGACGAACCGGCCCGGCCGGGACGGGCCCGGGTCGGGCCTTTTTTAATTTTTTGTTTATTCTGGGCTGGGCTGGGTGTTTTGGGGGGTGGGGGGTCAGGGGTTAAGTAGAGAAGCAAAAAAAATAAGAAGCCCGAGGCCTGGCTAGGGCCGGTTCTGGGCCTTCCCCCAACCCACAAAAGCCTGACCGGGCCTAGGCCCGGCCCGGGTCCATGACTACTTATACCAGTGTCTCTAAAATATATGGGCCTATTGTGGTTCTGATCATCTCTGAGTAGGCTAAGAAATTGGAACCAGAGGGGGCATACCCCTAGTGTTCCAGTTGCATCCTTGACATAAATTGCAACCGGCTCATCCAGAACAGGATCATAACTGAACCAACCCCCCCCCCCACCCAATATAACGCTTTGGATCTGCAGTTGAGAGGTTTCATTTGCGAAACTGTGCCCTCCTTTTAAAGACACTTGGTTCTGAATCAAAACTGCACAGAACAATCATTGCCATACAAATGGGTATTAGTGCATATATTTCAGCTGATTTGCCTCAATGCAGCCAGCATTCTCTATCCCTATTGCCTCGTTGAGCTCAACTGGCACATTACTTTTCCTTCACGATAGCAGCAATCCAATTCGCGATCCAATTCATCCCTCAGTCCCTCACTACATGATCCACATATATAAGCATGTCTGTTTCAGTGCAAGATAAATACTATAGTACTACTTTTCCTCTCACACTCGTGAACTAAATGTGGTTCGATTAAAGCTCAAAAGACGATTCAAAATATCAAACCCAAAATGTAAGTTGATCTCAATCTCTTAGGAATAAGACTTGGATGTTGTTTCATTTCAAAAGTAGTCACCACTCATCATTGTCACTGTCACAAGCCACAGCCCCAGACCCACTATGATGATTGTAGGTCCCCTTCCTTATATGGGTGACCGTCATGCCTCCATGGATTCCATCTTCGTATGTTAAGAATTCATTAACAGAAGACGGAGTGAAAATGGGAGAAAAGAAGATGAGATGCATAATGAAAATAAAAAAGATGTGGGGAGGTGGGTCGAACTATTCTTCTGTACAAAAAAAAAAAAACAAGTCCCACACTCCCAATTAGTCTTGGACCCGGTTCGGGCTACCAGGCCCGGGAACCGGCCCGGTACTGTGCGGGCCCGGCCCGGGAGCCGGGTACCGGTTCCGGGTCTAAGCCTGGTTTGGGGTGGGTAATCGGGTCGGGTACGGACTTAGGTAAATGAGAACCGGCCCGGCCGGTTCCGGGCCCAGTTCGGGCCATTCCAATTTTTGTTTTTTTGTTTTTTGTTGATTTGGGGCTTTGGGTTGGGTTTAAATGGACTGGAATGAGTCTCTTAGATGGGTTTGTGGGATGGGGGTAGGGGATAAAAATAATCAAGAAAACAAAAAAAATAATAATAACCGGACCCGGTCCGACACCGGTCTACTTCCGGGCCAGTCCTGACCCGGGCCCAGAACCGGTTGAGTCCATGACTAGTCCCAATACGTTCGCCTCATTTTTTTCATTTCAGGGTGCTTCATTCCATTGGATATTACCTCTGTCCCATTGGAAGGTTCTGATATCAAAACGTCACGGTTATTTAGATAATAATTACATAAAGTACTTAGAGTATATTTTGAAAAATAATTTTAAAAGGTATATATTATAATGTAGTTACTAGTTAGTATTGATAACTGTGATGTTATAAATGTATTATTTTTAATATTTAATGATTAATCTGTCATTTAAGATTGTTATTATTGTTTCCTAAAATGAAAATGAGAACCTTTGTATGGGATGTCCTAAAAGTGAGAAGCTTCTAATAGGACGGATGGAGTAATATATATGTAACTCAATTATTCATACTTTAAATAGTGTAGGCATAATTCCATATTTTCTTAATCTAGATGTTAAATTATCTTGTCGTGAACTCATGAGCAAGTGCAGTTACAACAAGAGTGCTTAACGTAAGGAGTGAGTGAATGTTGATCTAGTTCTGGAATATCAGGTAAATGATGTTTTTACTTGGATTGAAATTTTCTTGTATGATCTGGTAAATGTTTGGTCTCTTTTTATAACTATTCAAGTCAGGTCTGATCTGACATGGTCTGATCTAGTCTGATATAATCTGGTATTAGATCGAGATGGGAATATAATGGGTAAGGTTCCGCCGTTTCAAATCTAATAATATGGGTATCGGACCAACCGGTACCAACCAATTCTGGTTATGGTTCCGTAACTTTTTTTTCTTCTCATTTTTTTGGATTGAAAGAGCCATTACTTGGGGGCTCAGGCATCTCTATTCTCTAACGGCTATAGAACATTGGAGTGTGGGAGGCCGGAGGCAAAAAATCTATAAACACCTCATTTCGGAGGCCATTCGGTAAGACATATTTTCAACTTATCAACCAAATAATCCATTTTTTTAATTATCAAAAACATAATTTGTTATTTCGCATGCTGAATTAGGTAATAATCAAAATAAGTAAGTGATAGCCGTTATATTTACTTGTGTTTAACATAAGTATTTATAAGTATTTGTTGAAGAAAAGAAGAGAAATCGGACAAACACCTTCAGAATGAGAGCTAAAGCATAAAACATTGTGATGAACGGCTTTTGGGAAAAAGATGATAACGTTCTGCCCATAATTTGAGTATAACTTATTGTAGAGAAATCGAAATCTCTCGATTTGAATTTCATGTGAATGACAACTCAATAAGGTACAAATGTTATGAAGACGTCATGGATAGAATATGAAAGGAACATGACTCAATCAACCAATAAAGGCAGATGTTGCTGGTGAGATTTCTGGATGCATATTTCTCAGTTTTTTATCCATATCTTTTGATTGGATGAATAAAATCACGTCATTCAAGTTTTGGTAAATAGAAGACTTCATTATCTACAACTTTGGTGAATGAATCATGTTCAAATTCGTAGCGGTACATCCCAAAATCATGGAACAAAAACTGACACTTTTTTATCCATAAAAGAGGAAGAGAAAGGGAGTACATCTTTTGGCGCAGCAACCGCCGCCGGTCAGCCCACAACCGGCGCTTGTCATGTGGATTTTTTCGAGCAAAATGAGCCTGTTTTGAACCGGCGCCGGTCGACACATAACCGGCGCCGGTTGGGCCGATTTTTTGCTAAAACACAGCAACATGCAGATGATTCTTGATGGGAAAACTTCATCTTCCTCAATATTTGATCAAATATTGCTTCCATACCCGATTGTTTGGCTCGAATAAACTAAAAGATGTCATTCTTTAGCCTATATAAAACCCTCAATTCATCAAGCAAATTCATTCCATTCCATACTTTAATTCATAGCTTTTATATTTTGTTCTTGCTATTTTTCTTCAAGTTCTTGAGGGGAAAACTTCAACCTCCGAAATCATTGGTGTTTAGGTATTATTTCCTTTGTAATTTCATGTTCCATTACATTTCAATATTGTTGTTGGGTTAATGGCCCAACAGAGGGCCGACCCATTTACACCCTCAGTTGGACGAACGTCCAGACTAGTCGTTGGGTGGATCAAGCTAACAGGAAAACATGGTACAGACGAACGTCGCTTCCAGAAGACATTAACATTTGGAGCCAGCCCAATCCATGTTATAAATCATCTAAGGGCCAGTATACGAACGGCTCGATACCCTTTGCGATATCACCAAGAGCAGTCCCCCCCCCCCCCAGCAGGACGAATGTCCCCACTAATTAGGCGGGAAACCCAGATCCTGGCGGGAAGCGCATTTAATGCTGGATATTTGGTGGTTGGAGCAGCAGCCACTCACAGTCCTCCACGTCAGCATAGCCAGCTGCCCATTGGTAGTATAAATAGCAGCATTTATTTCATTGTAAAGGGTTGACAACTTACTATTCCTAGCATTTTAGCTTATAGCATCCTTACTCGCAGCTCTTCTACTGCCTTGTAAGACGAACGGCCGACGAGCCTTAGCGAAAGTATTGTATTGGGGAGTTATTAACTGATTAATAATACCTAATCTCTTACTTGCTACTTATTGTTTCTTAATCCATTTAACTTGTTAGTTGGGCTAGATTATTCATACACACTCCACTCGAAACTCTAGGGCTTACGTGTTGAACCCGAGAGTTGAAGGAATAAACCTCAACAATTGTATTGTGATTAATATGAGCATTAGAGGCTAATTTCTTAGCTAAGGCTAGGGATGAACCTCTATGCATACTAGGTGTTTGATAAAAGTTGTAAACCAATAAATTGTGATTTATCCTTTATATTTTGATTGTTTATGACTATGGTGTACAACATAGAAGTATGTTAAATTTAGTTTATGCTTGCAATTAACGTTGAAGTCTAAACTATGAACATTAAAGGATAAACATATATAGTACTGAGAATAGAAATATATCCGGTCTTATATGATACGGGTGTGATGTCTTGATATTCAACGGGGTTTTCGGTAGATGAATGTAAGCCGTGACGGGACTTGCACGTAACGAAAATCACGCTCTCGCTGTCTCAACCGGAGTTGAGAATATATTAGCGAC